ACTATTCCAAAGGCAAGGCAAAGGAGCATCCTAGGATGGACATCAGAGCTATTGAGGCAAGACTGGGAGTGGATCTGAGGAATTCTGACCTGATGGACTGTGAACTCCAGATTCCCGGGAAAGGGCTCCTTCTGGTACAAGCTGAAGTAGAAAGGAAGAAATGCTCCCATGCTAAAGGGATGTTCCAGGTGGAAAAAGTACCACAAGGGAGCCTACAAGAGAGCTGGAGAGGACAAGAGCATGGAATGGAAGGACACAGGGAATGGCTTCCCAGTGCCAGAGGGCAGGGATGGATGGGATATTGGGAAGGAATTCCTGGCTGGGAGGATGGGAAGGGGCTGGCACAAGGTGCCCAGAGAAGTTGTGGCTGCCCCTGGATCCCTGGAAGTGCCCAAGGCCAGGCTGGAGCAAGCTGGGACAGTGGAAAATGTCTCTGCCCATGGCAGGGGTGGAACTGGCTGAGCTTTAAGGTCTCTTCCAACCCAAACCATTCTGGGCCTCTATGAAAAAGAAACACACATCCCACACTCGTTCTGCCAGGTCTCTGCATCCCCTCAGGAATCTCAGGGACCAAGATGGGATAGGAAGAGGACAACCTGTCCCCACAGAAAGGAGGAGCACCAGGCAGTTTAGCAAATTTGAATTTCAGCCCTGAAACAGCCTGGAGTGTTAAGTAATGCCAGTTCTCCATGGCTATCTGTTTCCTGGAGCTTCTTCCTCACCACCCTTCCATCCTCAGCCTCTGTGCTGCCTGAGGAGCTCTGTGAATCAAGCAAGAACAGCTCAAATATCAGCACAGGCCATTTTCTTGCCCAGATGCCATTTCTCCAGCATCTCCACAAAGGAGGCTCTGTGCACAGGGACAATGAGCCAGGCCCTCAGCACAGCAGCAGCCCAGTGCTTTTATGTGAGGACATCTCAGATCAGGATGCCACCCCCAGGGCAGCAGAAGCTCAGTGTCCTTCCACAGGCTGCTGCCAAGTGGCCCTTAAAAACTGGGAATGGATGAGTATGTCCTGCTGGAGTCACACCAGTAAACACACCAGCCACCTCTAGATCATGGGAGCCAGAAAAGCTCCAGAGGCTTTCCATTTTTTTCTCCAAACCTCTGGAGCCTCACCACTGAGATCTCCCAAAAACCCCACAGAGTGATGGACACCCCTCCTGGTTGTTCCAGGGAAGTGTCAGGCCCTCCCTGGAGCTAAGCAAGCAGACCCATTTTTATAAGTCACTTTATCCTTCCCCACTCCAGATTCAGAGCTCTTATTTCCTCAGACAGGATTTCCCTTGGCTCTAGGTCTTCAAGGAGAAAGAAGTGGGATATAGGCAGAGTTCACTGAAAAACAGATATTGTGGGAGGAGGAGAAGCCTGGGAATCTATCTGGATTTACTCTAAGAGGACCTTTAAACAAGCCTGCAGAGAGGCAAATCTGCTGTCAAATCCAGTGACCTAGAGGAAAACAGAAATCCAGCCACTCTGTGGAGCAGAGCACAGAATCCCTGCTTTTCAAGGGACACCAATCCCTCCTGGCTGGAGCAACTGGGAGGTCAGGCTCCCTTAATCAGACAAGATGGATTTGTGCACTCTATGCACCATTTGTTATCCCACTGCCACACCATCAACAACACCTTTTGCAACAGGCAGCTCACCCCCAAAGCCTCCAGGTGTTTACTGGGGGGCAAGAGAGGGGGAAAAAGAACCAGAACAGCAGAACAACCCCACTGCTCCAAGTATCACATGAATGTTGGTGTCCTGGGGAAAATGAAATCATAACTCCCGTGGGTGACACATGGGAGCGATTTCTGTGTGCTAGCGATTCCTTTGTGAGGCTGGGGAACAGCTGAGAGCTGCAGAGCAAAGAATCCCAACAACAACAACAAAGCTGGAAGGAAAAAGTGGTGACTTGTTTCATAAATAGGCAGCGAACTGGGAGGCAGGCGAGCAAAGGGCTGCTCAAGAGAAACTGGAGCAGAAACAAAATATTCAGGAGGAGGATGGGGAGGGGAGAGCCAGGGCTTTAGGGGATAAAGGCGAGTGGAAGGACTAAGGAAAGGAGGCTAAAAATCACCACATGAGTGATGAGAAAGCCAGAAAAGCAGGGACACAGCTCGGTGACAATAACGAGCAGCTCCGCACTGTCCCAGCAGCGATGCTGGAGCTGGGAAGGGGCCCCCCTGGGCTGTTGTGTGAGGGATCTCGGGGTTTTTTTGTCTGACAAGCTGCGGAACAACAAGCCGGGTTCGATGGAGGGAAGGAGGGAGCGCAGCAACAATAGCAGAAGAGGCTCTGGATGGTGACGTAATGGTTGGCATCACTCCAGGCCAGAGCAGCCCCTGCTGCTGCCACTTTCTGGTCCTCTTTGCAGAAGGGGAATCAATTTAAAAAAATAAAAAAAGATGCAAAACAGTCCCTCAAGTGACGCCCCCCCCCGCCCAGCCCCACAAACACCCCGCCGTGGGTCAGGGTTGCAAAGAGGAAAACCCCACCTGGGAGCAGAGCATCTCCCAAATCCCAAATTCAGGGCATGTGGCTGTCCCCCCACGATGCGGGGTGTGCACTCAGGGTACACCCCGCACCCCAAATCCCTGATGCTGGGATTCTGGGTGCACTTTTAGCTCACACCATCCCCCCCAAACCCCACCCCGCCCCCCAAGCTTGGATTCAGGGCACAATCCCTGCGCTTCTCCCCAAGCCTGGATTCAGGACACAACCCCTGCATACCCCCCCAGCACAGCCTGTCCCAAAGCCTGCAGCAGGGCTGGATTCAGGGCACAATCCCACAATCCTTCCCAGGCGGGATCTGGGGCACAGCCCTGCATCCCCTCAGGCTGTCCCAAAGCCAAACCCGAGGGCACAGCCCGGGCATCACCTCCCACCCTCACCTGGGCGCTCCCATTCCCAAAGAATCGGCTCCAGGGCGCTCCAAGTTTGGAGAGAGGCGGCTGAAGAGCAGCTTCCAACCCCGGCGTCCCGCAGGGTGGCAGCTTTGGAAAAAGGAATTTTGGAGCGGTTTTGCCCAAAAGGCAAAACTTACCTCGGCGAAATAGAGGTTGAGGAGGCAGAGGCTGGAGAAGAGGAGGCAGCCGGGCAGGCAGTAGAGGAGCCAGTGGGCGAAGGGCTGCTGGAGGCGGAGGGCCTGCAGGGAGTTCTGCAGGTAGAAGGAGAACAGGGTGGTCCTGAGGGCTGCCCAGAGCAGGCAGAGGAAGAGGCAGAGCGTGTGGTAACTCAGCCGCCGCTCGCGGTAGTAGAGCAGCAGCCAGAGCTGCAGGTAGGCGAAGAGGAAGAGCGCGGCGTAGAGAGCCGTGTGGAGCACGGTGAGCCCCAGCTCCACGGCGTAGGGCACGGCCGCCCCCTCAGCGACGGCCATGGGGCAGCGGGAGGCACCGACCCCCTCCCTGCCTTCCCTCAGCCCCGGCTGGACACCCCCATGCAACAAAGGGGAGCCCCCCTCTCTTTTCTCCTTATCCTCCTTCTCCTCCCGCCCGCCCCGCTGCACCGCCCGCCCGCCCGCCGCCAAACAACTCCGCGCCGGGGCCAGCCGGCTGAGCCCGCTGATTTGAGGGGCGGCGGCGCGCGCTTCTCATTGGCCGCCCGCCGGCCACGCCCCCCGCCGCGCCCACCCGCCGCGCCCATTGGCCGGCGCCGCCTGTCAATCACCCGCGCACCGCCCCCGCCGCGCCGCCGCTTTGTTTGTTGGGTTGGCGGCGCCGCCCGCCCGCCATCCTTCCTTCGCTGCTTCCCGGAGAGGGGTGAGAGAGGCGCGGGGAGAGGGGAGAGAAGAGAAAGGGATGAGAAAGATGGGAGAGGGCAGAGGGGGGTGAGGGGGTGAGAGGGGCCGTGAGGGGAGCGCTGAGGGGCCTCCCGGAGGAGCCGGGGGGATGTGGGCACCCCCGCAGGCAGAGTCGGGCTGTGGGAGCATCTCCGCTTCAGGCTCTGTGGGGATGTCCGGGTGTCCCTCAGGGATCAGGAACATCCCCGCTTCGGGCTCTGTGGGGATGTCCGGGTGTCCCTCACGGATCAGGAACATCCCTGTTACAGGATAGGGATGTCCGGGTGTCCTTCACAGACCGGGACCATCCGTGTCCCTCACGGATCGGGAACATCCCGGTTACAGGATGGGGGTGTCCGGGTGTCCCTCACGGATCGGGACCATCCGTGTCCCTCAGGGATCAGGAACATCCCGGTTACAGGATGGGGGTGTCCGGTTGTCCCTCAGGGATCAGGAACATCCCGGTTACAGGATGGGGGTGTCCGGGTGTCCCTCACGGACCGGGACCATCCGTGTCCCTCATGGATCAGGAACATCCCGGTTACAGGATGGGGATGTCTAGGTGTCCCTCACGGATCAGGAACATCCGTGTCCCTCACGGACCGGGAACATCCCGTTTGCAGGATGGGGATGTCGGGTTGTCCCTCACGGACCGGGAACATCCCCGCTTCGGGCTCTGTGGGGATGTCCGGGTGTCCCTCAGGGATCAGGAACATCCCGGTTACAGGATGGGGGTGTCCGGGTGTCCCTCACGGACCGGGAACATCCGTGTCCCTCACGGATCAGGAACATCCCGGTTGCAGGATGGGGATGCCCGGGTGTCCCTCACGGATCAGGAACATCCCGGTTACAGGATGGGGATGTCCGGGTGTCCCTCACGGATCGGGTCCATTCGTGTCCCTCACGGACCGGGTCCATTCGTGTCCCTCACGGATCAGGAACATCCCGGTTGCAGGATGGGGATGCCCAGATATCCCTCACCGATGAGGAACATCCCGGTTGCAGGATGAGGGTGTCCGGGTGTCCCTCAGGGATCAGGAACATCCGTGTCCCTCACGGATCAGGAATATCCCGGTTACAGGATGGGGGTGTCCGGGTGTCCCTCACGGATCGGGACCATCCGTGTCCCTCACGGATCGGGAACATCCCGGTTACAGGATGGGGATGTCGGGTTGTCCCTCACGGACCGGGAACATCCCGGTTGCAGGATGGGGATGTCCCTCACGGTCTTTTCCATGCAGGCGGCCATCCATCCATCCATCCATCCATCCATCCCTGTGGATGCAGGAACAGCTCCGGGAGCCGTGCTGCGAGCAGGTCTCGGCTCCAGTACACCCCGTTGTTACCGAGAGGCCTCGGCCGGCTCAGGCATCGCTTCCCCCGGCTGGCACAGAGCCACCCGCGCTGCTCCGGGCATCCCGGCTGTTCCAGCCCTGCAGCCTCGGGGCGGGATGCTGTCCCAGCACCGCGGAGGAGGGATGGGGACATCGGCCTGAACGCCCGGGACACCAGGTAGGTGACAGCCCTGAGCTTGTTCAGTGGTGTGCATCCAGTGCCAGCTGCTCCCCAGCGACTTCGGGGGCTGGTTCCAAGACTGAACATGGCAGCAGCAGTGGGTGATGCTGGTTCCACCAGGAATTCAGCGGTGCTGGTGATTCCAGCAGATGGTGATGCTGCCAGGGAAGTGGTAGGTTCATCGTCCTTGGAAATGTTCCCAAACCGTGTGCATGTGGCACTTGGGCACATGGGTTCGTGGTGGCAGTGCTGGGGGAATGGTGGGACTCGTTGGTCTTAGAGGTTTTCTCCAGCCTGTATGATTTATGATTCCATGCTGCAGGCTGTCTGCTCTGCATGGGAATCAAAGCTTTCTTCTCCTGGCATGTCCCTCCTGCAGCCTTGGATAGCAAGTGAGACCTAGCTGCTGGGAAGTTGGACCTGGAAATGAAAATGAAAGTGAAACTCCTTTGGAAGTGGCAGGATAAATGGCAGCATGGGAGCATCAAAAATCCAGGCAAAAAAAAAATCCAGCAAAAATCCAGGCAAAGCACACTGGGAAACAGGCTGGGATGCACTTGGATGCTCCCAGAAAAGGATCCCTGTGATTCAAGATGCTCCCACAGCTGTCCCTGTAGGCAGGAGGGAGATGCAGTGAGTGCAAAGGGCCAGTGGTTATTTGAGTCCCATAATTGCAGGCTCATCCCAAAGCTCTGGAGAAGCATCTCACTGTTATTCCAGCTCCAAAAGCTGGGGAATTGCAGCTCTAGCACTCTACTCAAATCAATTGTGTCCGAGAACTTGCCTTTGGAAAATTTGGAAGGAGTTGGGTTGAGCTCTGTGCCAGCTATTTGGGTAATGATCGTGAGCCTGTGATAATTATGGGGTTGTGATAATGAACTTGTCAACTGTGTAGGAAAAGTCTGGAGCAAGGGAGGGATGTTGTAGTGAAAAATATGAAAAGTCAATATAATTCCAGGCAAGGAATCATGGGTTGGGTTGGAAGGGACCTTAAAACTCATCCAGTTCCACCCCTGCCATGGCAGGGACAACTTCCACCATCCCAGGCTGCTCCAAGCCCCATCCAGCCTGGCCTTGGGCACTTCCAGGGATCCAGGGGCAGCCACAGCTGCTCTGGACACCCTATGCCAGGGTTTTTCCACCCTCACAGCCAAAAATTCCTTCCCACTATCCCATCCATCCCTGCCCTGTGGCAGTGGGAAGCCATTCCCCCTTGATATTTAGACAAGACAAAGTGGAGATTTTACATCACTGGCATTAAAGTCCAGGCTGGTGGTGTTCCTGCTGAGTCCAAGGAAGCCCATGGATGGTGGAGGTGGTCCCAGCTGGCTGGGCAGTCCATAATTCCAGTAGGACAGCAGTTCATCCTTCTCTTGTGACTCTTAAATCGCACCCCACAACACCCTCCTGTGGGATTATGGTTTTCTCCTGACTTAGAGATGGGGTAATTGAGAGGTGTTTTTAAAACTTCCATTTTATTTTTAGTTATATGTGAAGGGTAAAATAATACAGATGTTATAATTTACATTATTATAATTAGAAGTTAACTATTTCTTAATTATAAGTGTTTTCTGGCTTATTAGTTTTTGTTACACTATATTTGTAAATGTTTTAAAGTTATTTATTTAAAATTACTCCTCATGGGTCTTGCTACAATGCATTTTTATAGTTTTATTTTTCTAAAGTATTTAGTCTTATTTGTAAGGTTATCTTTTAAAACTTGTTTCTAGTTTTATTTATTTTTTAATAATGTTTGTTTTGTATTATGGTATTTTTAAGTTAGTATTTCTTATTTTAATGTTTGTATATAAATATGTATTATATAAACCTTCTATCAAACTTTAAAAAATTCTTATAAATTTATTTCTTCCACCCTCTCTTTAGGAAGCTCAGCTTCCTCAGTGATAAATCTTGGCAGCTGAGATCTGTGTGAGGAAAGGTGTCATGGGAAGCAGCTGGGATCAGAGATGATCCCAGCCCATGGATTCCACTGCAGGATTCCCAAACAAAACTGATGTGGCACAAGCAATTTATGCCTCCACAAGAGTTTGGGCTGGATATCTCTGATGGGTTTGGTTTCACTTCAGGTCACCTACAGTGACTTTAACCACCTTGCCTGGCTCTGCCTTGGAATTATGACAGTGGAAACATGAGCCAGGCCTGGCATTCCACCAGTGCTGTCCCTTGTCCATGGGCTTAAGCTTTCCCAGCAGTGACACAGAGCTGCTTCACACATCCCTGGTATTTTAACACATCCCTGGCAATCCTGCAAGTCTCAGTGCTGCAGGGTTCTGGCTGTTTCCAGCCTTAGGGGGTTCATTTTCCATTGATGGGAAAGAGGTGACAGAGGAAATGGCCTAAAAGCTGAATATTCAGGTCTGAGTTGCTGGGGAGCAGAGGGAAACTGCTGGGCAGGATGGAGTGATGAGAAGGTGAGAGGGAAGGGGTGAGCACACATTTTTCACTGGACCCCAGAATGGTTTGGGTTGGAAGGGACCTTAAATCCCATCTCATTCACACCCCCTGCCATGACAGGGACACTTTTCACTATCCCAGGTGGCTGCAAGCCCCATCCAGCCTGGCCCTGGACACTTCCAGGGATCCAGGAGCAGCCACAGCTTCTCTGGGCACCCTGTACCAGGGCGTCCCCACCCTCACAGGAAAGAATTCCCAGTTCCCAATATCCCACCTTTCCCTGCCCTGTGTCCTGTCCCTCCATCCCTTGTTCCAAGTCCCTCTCCAGCTCTCCTGGAGTCCCCTTAGGCACTGGAAGGGCTCTGAGCTCTCCTTGGTGGCTGGAATTACGTTTTAAACTGCTGGCCCTCTCCTCCAGATATAATCCTTTGACATCTTGTAGTCCTTGGAGGCTGCTCCTCTTCCTTCCTTGACAGTAAGCTCTCCCATTTGACCTGTGCTGGTTCCCACGTGCCAGGATTGTGTTTATTTTTCCATCCTGCCATAGCCAAGTTTGTCATTTAATAAACATCAACCCCCCCAAGCCTGATCCCTGTCCCCTCTGTAAGCCAGGGGAACAGATGGGAGGGCATGGGACCAGAAATGCCTGACACTGCCCAAAGCTGGAAAGGAGACAACTAGAGATTTTGAGATGAAAAGAAAAAAAAAATTAATGTATTTCCAGCTCTGTTGTGCCTTCAGGCTTGATCCAACCCACTCAGCTCCTGGAGAAGGCTGAGTGTTCCTGTCAGTAACTCCTCACTCCTGGAGCATGGCAGGGAAGTTTTCCCTGCTTGTTTTTGGAGTGTTTGAGCTTGGGCTGATCCCAGGGCAGCCGTGGTGAGCTGACAGCCTCTGCCAGGGTGTTTGTTGGAGGAGTGACAGCCCATGGACACAGGGTGTTTGTTGGAGGAGTGACAGCCCATGGACACAGGGTGTTTGTTGGAGGAGTGACAGCCCATGGACACAGGGTGTTTGTTGGAGGAGTGACAGCCCATGGACACAGGGTGTTTGTTGAGGGAAGCAGCTGCAGCTCGTGATGTAAATTCTGCATGGATTCAGGCCCAGCTTTGTCCCTTTGTTGAGCAGGGAGCAGCCACGCTCCAGCAGCAGAGAGCAATCCCTGAGGAGCAGGCTGGGAAGGAATGGAGTGGGAAGAAATTGGCTTCTCATCCTTTAACCTCCTCACATCATCTGCCATGGCCTGGAGTGAGCAGAATCCTAAAATCCCAGATTTGGTTGGGAGGGACCTTAAAGATCATTTTGTTCCATCCCAGGGGCAGGGACACTTCCCACCGAAATCAATATGTCCAGGAAAATTCACACTTAATAAATGTATTCCCTGGGAAAGTCAAGATAGCTGCTAAGAAATGGCAAAGTCAGTAGCCAGAAGCAGAAAAGATTTTACAGAATTCTTGTCTGACTTACTGCTACACATATTTTAGGTCAAGGGTAATCTGATTTTTTAATTAATCCTTTAAAGGTTAAGTTGTATAGAACATCTGATCACAGAGTAAAGAAAAAAACCCAGCAGTATATACAAAAATAGCATCCATTTAAGTTACATAAATCCTTATAAATATAAGAGAGAAATCAGTTACTCTATAAAAAAAAAAAAATTGGAACATGTGTTCCTGAAGCACCAGCAGAACATCCTCATGCTGAGGACTTCAGCTAGAAAATCTTTATAAATATACCTGCAAAATTCTTCCTCACTCTGACCAGGAACAAGTGTCAGAAGATGCACATTTCTATTTTGCACTCAAACAAGAGCTCTCCTATTTGAATCTCAAATGGCCATTTGGTTTTTGGCAACCACAACACGTCCTATCCCTTTGCAAACACCTTTCAGGGCCACATAAATTCTACTGGCATCCTCGAAGCTTTGTAGCAGGAATTGAGACAGTTTGGGCGGGGGTTTGTGGATGATGCTGTCACTATTTTGTTGCCTGTGCATGGAATTTTTGTTTGACTCAGAAGAAATAAAAAGGAGGGAGGAAAACCAGCCCTAAGCTGAAAGCACTGAGGGTCTGTGCACTTGAAAGTGCCACTCAGAGGGAAGAGAGTGGCCTCTCCTGTCCTTTTTGCAGTTGTCTGAGTCACCTGTGGATTTTGTGACTAATTCATAATACCCTCAAGATGTTTGTCATATTAATAATAATTTCCACAGTTGGAAATTACAGTCATGTAACAGAGACTAAAACAAAGAAACACTCATATATGTGTTTGTGTGTGTTTATGGTTTTTTGTTTTTTGGGTTTTTTTTTTTTAATTTTTCCTTGCAGTTGTGACTCTCCTGTGCCTGTAGCTGGGAATAGCCATGTCAGCCCAAAAGGACAGATGGGTTTCTTCCTTGGTTTTCCTTCTCTTCTGTGCTTCCTCCATCCCAAAATGTGGAAGTGCCAGCCTGCAGCAGGAGCCAAGCCCCCAGCACTATTTCAGTGGCTTGGAAGCTGGAAAAACATCCTTGGCTTTTTTCACCCCCAGTGGTACGTGTTTAATGTGAGTTTCCATCAGCTGGGGCTCAGCAAGGCTGGGTGAGAGTGGAACAACCACAGAATCATGGAATGGTTTGAATTGGAAGGATCTTAAATCCCATCCAGTTCCACCCCTGCCATGGCAGTGACACCTTCCACTATCCCAGGCTGCTCCAAGCCCTGCCCATTCTGGCCTTGGACACTTCCAGGGATCCAGGGGCAGCCACAGCTTCTCTGGGAATTCTATTGCAGCCCCTCCCCACCCTCTCAGCCAGGAATTCCCAGTTCCCAATCTCCCATCTGGCAGTGGGAAGCCACTCCCTGTGTCCCGTCTCTCCATGCCTTGTAAAGAGTCTCTTTTCACCTTTCTTGTTGGCTCCTTCAGGCACTGGAAGGCTGCAGTTAATTCACCCCAGAGCCTTTTGTTTTCCAGCTCTCAGCCTTTCCTCTGGCAGAACTGCTCCATCCCTCTAATCACCCTGTGGCCCTCCTCAGTGAAGGGGCAGTTCTTGAGGCTTTTAATCCCGAGGGGGTTTTGAGGAGCTGGTCAAGCACTGTGTTTACACAGTCCCAAGTGCTCCTCACGGGCAGAGACCTCTTGGGATGGGTTCTTTCCTGGTTGTCTCCTCAGACACAGTCCTTCAAACATCTTCATTCATTTTCTGGAGGTACTGTGGAGGAGAAAGCCAATTTGCTAAGGGATTTTCCCCTCTTCCATAATACCTGCTAGAAAAAGGGGAATCCCTTTCCTGAGGGAGAACTGAAGGCTATCATGGATTAGGAGAACATCCTTGACCTTGCTTTTGTTCTTTGTGATTTCCCAAAGACGTTGGCATGGGCTGAGGAACATCTCCCACATCTCAGTGTGTGGCAGGAGGATGCTCTTCACCCTGAGGACTTGGAAAAATTGGAAGAGGATTTTTTTTGTGTGTGTTTCAGTTTCTCCTGGTGCTCAGCCCTTCTGGGAGCAGATTGAGAGCTCAGCTGAGGCCCTCCAGGACTATGGTGTTTCTGTGGTGAAGGTAAATGGGGCTCAGGGAAGCTGCTGGGTGGGATGGAGTAAGGAGGAGATGAGCAGGGAAGGGATGAGCACAGATTTCCCATAGAATCATGGACTCACAGAACAGCTTTGGCTTTCAGGGACCTTAAAGCTCATCTCTTTCCACCTCACCTTCCATGGACAGGGACACCTTCTACTATCCTGGGTTGCTCCAAGCCCGTTCAGCCTGGCCTGGAACATTTCCAGGGATGGAAAATCCCCAACTTCTCTGGGCAGCCTGTTCCAGTGTCCATGTTCATGATGGATGAGGTTGGTTAACTTCTTTTCAGCTCAGTGCAATAAATATTTAATACAAAGGAGTTTTTATCTGAAATTTCATTCAGATTCACGTGGGGGAATTACAAATTCAGGCAAGTGTAATTAGACTCTAAGAAGTGCTTATATATTTATATTTGGATTTATTTAGTTTCCTCCAGCTACAGACCAAGTTCAGTAAGGAAGCACTGATCTGTCACTTTGAATATGCTGGGTAGATCATGGGGTCTTTTGATCCTCTCTGACCCAAATCAGCAGGCTGAGCTGGAAAACTGAAGTACAAACTCCACTCTCCATCTCTGTCTCAATTTTGGTGGATTTTCCCTTCCAGAAGGTTTGGAAAGCCTGGATTTACAGTCTTGAATGGAAGAAAGCTGTAGGGGATGTGTGTGGTCATTGTGGGGCTGAATCTGTAATTACATGTATTTGCTGTCTAGGTGAATTGTCCCAAAGAGGATATGTCAAGATATTGTGGAAAAGAAAATGCATTAAGGAAAGCCTTCCTGTTCAGGTGAGGAGCATTTCTGGGCACTGCACTGGGATCACTTTCCAGTGCAAATGTTTGAAGGAAACCCTGTCAGCAATCAGAGATGTCTGTGAAGGAATGAGAGGAGCCATGAGGAGAAAAGTGACCTGCATAGTTTAGCCAAAGGTACCCCCAAAATTCCAGCACAGGCAGAGGAGTTGATTTGTCCTCGGTGTGAATTCTCCCACCCTGCCCCAAGTTCCTTGGAGCAGCAGAGGGATGAGCTGTGGAATGCAACCACAAGAGAAACCCTCCATCAATGTTCTGCTGTTCCTCTGGCCTCCCACCCCCAGAGCTGTACTCAGGCCACAAGATTTTGGGTCTAGTCCAAGAAAGAAACACTTTTTGGTGGTCTCCTTGTTGGTCGGATTAAATCTTCTGCTCTGGATGGGAAGGTTCAGCTCCTGGTCACTCCAAGGGTTGTTACATGGAAGCTTTTCCATGTATCAGCTCAGTTTTCATTGACTGTTGTACTGATAATCATGGAATAATTAAGGTTGGAAAAGACTTTTAAGGTCATCAAGTCCAACCATTTCAAAGACCTTTAACATCACTGAGTCCATCCCTTCCCCAGCACTGCCAAGGCCACCATGTCCCCAAGTGCAGCAGGAACCTGCTCAACCAGGTGTGAATGATTCCCAACTCTGATCAAAGACATCTCAAGTGTGTTCTGCCATTTCTCCATCATCCTCCCTATCATTCTGTGCCTGCCTTGGCTCCCTTTTCCCATGGATCCATGCAGTGCATCTCTCTCAATTCCTTTGGTGACTCTCTTTTCCCTCCCCAGAGGAAACCGACTGATCCGAGAGTTCCCCACCGACGCCCTGTTTGATGTGAACTCCATCGTCGCCAACGTTTTGTTGTAAGTCCAGACCACATCCCACTCTCTGAAATCCTTTTCCTTTCTGTTCCCACTAAATGCCAACCCCAGGCTGATGCCTTGTGTCCCGTCTGGGTTGCCAGAAATGGATGCCTTGTGAGGGCTGAGCTAGAACAGAGACCAGAGGGAGTTAAAGAATAAAGTAGGGATTTATTAAAGGATCTCCTCCATGGATCCACCTTGGGCAGCACCAGAGCCCAGCCAGGGCTGCACCCAAATGAACCAAAATGGCCCCAAAATGAACAAGCGCTCCCGGGGGCTCTCCCTGGGATCAGTTCTGCTCCATTGGCACCTTGGAGTTCATTGTCCCATTCCAGCTTCAGCCCAGGCAGTCCCACCCTGCTTGTTTTTCTCTCTCCAGCCCACGGTGTTTGTGCTCCTGGGCTGAGATTTGGATCATTTGTCCTTGGTGCCCAGCTGGAGCAGGAATTGTTTTGTCTCCCTGCTCTGTGCAGAGAGCTCAGCATCCCCTGGTATGGAGCCCAGACCCACACACTAAAGCAGCACAGAATCTGAAAAATATAAAACCTGAGGCATCAAGGTATACCAGAGGCTGCTCTCAGTCAAGCTTGTCTCTTCATAATGGTTTGACCCTGTTAAACTGTTTCCCTTGAGACAACTCTCCAGCACACACCTGGTGGTGTGGGCACACACTGGGCACCTCCAGTTGGCTGTGAATCCTTAATCTGCCAGCAAGAAGCTGGAATTTTACCCTGTTTTTCCCATCGTGGTTGTGTGGCTGCAAATTTACTTTTCAACCAGTTGCTAATGAGGTTTTTTCTGCCTCCACAGTGCCCTGCTCTTTAATGAAGTTAAATATGTTGAAACACTGGCAGACCTTGAGAACATTGAAAATCTATTGAAAGGGAAGTCCAACATGGTCTTTGCCTATGTACCAGCTACTGGGACAGCAGGTATGGATGCTCAGCTTTTCATCTTCCCTCTCTTCCTCCAGCCGTTTTTTTTTGGTAGAGTATCCAGGAGCTGAGTTTCTGATCCAAAGTCTTGCAAATGAAAACCTGAAAGGGCCACCCAGCCACAAGATCTCTATTTCCATATGTTTTGCTTTGTTTCCAAAAGGAATCAGTTGCACCAGAAAAGTTTTGCTGGGAGCACAAACCTTTAGAGACGGACTTGGAGAGGGACAGCAAGCCAGTGGATGCTATCTTAAAAATGATAAATCCCTGGGCAGATCTCTGGCTCTGCAGTGGAATGGATTCTCACACAGCACCTGTTTGCTGGGGATCAGGAAAGGGATCCAGCTCCGGTTGCTCACTTTCCTTCACAGTGTGTTTTCAGACAGACTCTGTGACATTGTACCAAAAGTTTCTGAAAGCTTGGGAGTTGATATTTACTCCTGGCAAGGATGAAACGGGAGATATGAAGGGAACAAAGCTAAGTTCACCTTGTCTTTCCCATTCCAGAGCACAGAGCTGTGATGGAGGCAGCTTTTGTCTATGGGACCATCCACCAGTTTGTCCTGACAACTGAGGCAGCACTGCTGAAGGCCACTAGGTATGTCCAGACACACCCCCACTGTGGAGAGCTGCTTCCATCCACTGTTTGCCTCACTCCTGGGGTCTCAGATCCCAAAGCAATTCTAGGATGGCATTGGGATGTTGTGCTAAGGGTGAACAGTCAGATCTGTTTTCCAAAAGCTGCTGGTTGTGTTCCTTGGAGGAGCCTTGCTGTTTGTGGCTGTATTGGGTGGGATTTCACAGGAGAAGAGCCCTGTGTCTCCTTTCTGTGGCTGATGGATCAAACCTCAGCCATGGGTTTTCAGGAGAGCTGATGTTAAAATCCTAAAGCACTCCCATCTTGTGCTGTGATATCCAAGAGCAAAAACTGGAGCTCATGGATTTGGGAATTTCCATCCCATGGCCTCAGTGGTCACCCCTTCCTATGCAGGAGGAGCTGCTTTAGAATGGCAGATTATTCCATGGGACTGCTGATGTGACCTCCTGCAGTCAGGAATGTGGGGGAGGAGGTGGGAACATCACAGCCCACAGCGTGCCCAGCTGGCCAAGAGGCCACTGGCACCTGGCTTGTACCATCCTGTGGCTACAGAGCCAGGGCAGAGATTGTCCCCCCTGTGCTGGCACTGCTGAGGCCACACCTCAGATGCTGGGGTCAGTTCTGAGCCCCTCATGACAAGAAACACTGAGGGGCTGGAGCGTGTCCAGGGAAGGGAACAGAGCTGGGAAGGGGCTGGAGCACCAGGAGAGGCTGAGGGAGCTGGGAAGGGGATGGAGAATTCCTGAGGGAGCTGGGAAGGGGCTGGAGAATTCCTGAGGGAGCTGAGAAGGGGCTGGAGAATTCCTGAGGGAGCTGGGAAGGGAATCAGCCTGGAGCAAAGGAGGCTCAGGGGGGACCCTGTGGTTCTGCACAGCTCCTGCCAGAAGGGGACAGCCAGGAGGGTCGGGCTGTGCTCCAGGGAACAGGGACAGGACAAGGGGAAATGGCTTCAAGTTGTGCCAGGGGAGGTTTGGATGGGCTATTAGGGAAAATTCCTTCCTGGAAAGGGTTGTTGTGTCAGAACAGGCTGCCCAGGACAGAGATGGAGTTCCCATCCCGGGAGGGATTTAAAATCTGTGTGGATGTGGCACTTGTGGACATGTCTCAGTCCTGGGTTGGACTTGGAGGGCTTTTCCAACATTAGTAACTCCATCATGGGATTTTGTCACAGGCACCAGGGTGACAAAATCACCCCTTCCCGAGGTGCCGTTCATTCCATCCTCGCAGGATTTCGGGGAATCGTGCTGTGGCTCCCGCTAGATGGCACGGTTGTCATTGCGCAGGAATCGCCTGAATTCTCCTTAGAGCAGCGCCGCCCCCTCCCGACCTGCTGAAGTGCTGGGTGGGAGCTTCTCCAACAGGAACAGCTTCCAGCCAACCGGGGCAGCAGGATTTGAGGTCTTAATACTGCACTTTGCTCTTCCATGGAGAGCTCTTAAATCCTTATCCAAAGAAGGTGATCCCTGTTTTAGGGGTAGGGAATGGGTGCATCGAAAAAGGAAAGTGACTTCCCAAAGTTACCCACAGGCCAACTGCAGTGATGGTGTCACAGCTAACCAGGGACACTTTCCACTCTCCCAGGTTGCTCCAAGCTCTGTCCAGCCTGGCCTGGAACACTTCCAGGGATCCAGGGGCAACCACAGCTGCTCTGAGCAGCCTTCAACCCTCACAGGGTACAATTCGTTCCCAATCTCCCATCCATCCCTGCCCTCTGGCAAGTGGGAGCCATTCCCTGTGTCCTGTCCCTCCATGCCTTGTCCTCAGTCCCTCTCCAGTTCTTCTGGAGCCTCTTTAGGTCCTGAAAGAGGCTTTGAGCTCTCCCTGGAGCTTCTCCTCTCCAGGGGAACATTCCCAGCTCTCCCAGACTGTTCCACAACCCTGCCAAACCCTGGGCTTGAGGATAATCTGTGAAACACATCAGCAAACCTGCTCCTTCTGTCAGGCCCTTTGAACCCCTGCTCAGGGTGGTTTTGTTTCCTCTCTCACAGCCACGATGACCCCGATGTCTCTTCTGCCTGGCTCTCGTTCTGCCACTGCCAGCGGGCCACAGAGGCAGCCCAGCCCTGCAGGAGGACAGCCCTGGCACAGCCCCTGACCCTGCTCAGCATCCACAGGCACCTCAAGCTCATGGGGGCTCCCTTGGTGGTAGGACTGGGAAGGAGAAACTGCTGGGAACCTGGGTGGGAGGGCAGGGTGGGGGTGTGAGGATGAGGGAGGTGAGAGAAGAAAGAAAGGCTGGGTGTGGGAATCTGCCCCTTCCAGGGTGGGTCCAGGCAAGGAGCAGGAATCACCTGGTGCAACTGCCTCACCAATTCAGGGCTGGCCAAAATGTAAATAAATTATTGAGGGAATTTTCCAAATGATTCTTGAGCACTGCCCAACTTGTTCCAGTGCTCTTGGTAAAGAACCCTTCCTGATGTTCTGTCTAAACCTCCCCTGATGCAGCTTTGAACCATTTCCACATGTTCTATCCCTAGATACTCTGGAAATATCAGTGTTTTCCTCTCCACATCCCCTCAGGAAGCTGTGGAGAGCAATGGGGTCATCCCTCAGCCTCCTTTTCTCTAAACTAGACAACCCCAAAGTCCTCAGCTGCTCCCTGCAGGAGTTTCAGCACCCTCTGGAATTTGATATCGGTCCCTCACACCTTGGTGATCACAAGGATGAGGAGGCTCCCTCCAATTTCCTCCTTCCATGGGGCAGAGAACTTCAGCAGCCTCCTGTTCCCAGTGGTCATCCCTGGCCATCCCAAAGGATGAGTAGATGAGGGAATGCTCCTTCAGCCATTTTCCTGGATTAGGCCCGTGGAGGGAAGGCACTTCATCAAGCACCTCTGTGCTGTCATGAAGCAGCACGTCCAAGGCAGAAAGGGAAGGATTCCAGCTCTTGCATGTTGTGGCTGGGATTCTCAAACTGCCCCAGGGAGTGGATGCCAGGTAAATAAAAATGAGTGGAAATTTGACATCTGGAATTGCTAAACCACAACCCCCCCCCACACACACACACAAAATAAAGCCCAGGTTTTTAACAGGGAAGGTCGTGACATGTTGGAACAGTTTAATTGCAGTTCTGTGGGTTCTGCTTTTATGGATATTTTAGAATTGGGGTTGGAAGCTTTTTCCTGAGGATTTCTGTGGCTGGGGGAGAGCTGAGGTACCTTCAACTTGTGGAGCTGTGCTACAGCATAACCCTGGCTGTTCTCCAGACAGAGGTTGCTGAGGACCCAGAGAAGATCTCCACTGTTCACTTGCAGCTCGGGCTGCCCCTGGTGTTCATCCTGAGCCAGAAAGAGACCTACGAGGCTGACAGGAGGACAGCAGAGTTTGTGGCCTGGCAGCTCTTGGGGAAAGCAGGAGTTGCCCTTTTGTCCAGGTATTTCTCTCAGGTGTTTTGGGGTTCTCCTTGCTTTTTCTGGAGTTTCTGAGCTGGGTTACCCCAACACCAGGATGACAGTCAGTGGACTCAATCACACTTGGATGAAAGGCAGTAAAGACAGGCTATATCCTGTGACAGGGTGTTTCATATTTAAGGATTTGTCCAGAACTGTATTAATTTGGAAGTGTTACTGGCTTAGGGGTGGAAAAATATTCAGACTAAGAGAGATTTTGGAGAGGACACTTAGCACTGGTGGAATTAGGGCAGAAAGAGGAGGGGTGATCTTCCATGTCACCACCTAATGTTCACTTTGTGTTTTGGAAGGGACCTCGTAGAGCTGAACGTTCTGCACCGGTCAAACGTTGCCCTCAAGACACCAGATGAGGTTGGATTTCTTTATTGGACAACTCTTAGCTCTGGAGAGGGTGGTGGGATATTGCTCATCTCTGGGATTGATTTGGCAGCATTCCCTGAAGCTCAAGGGGAAGTGTATTTCCCAGGCTATCCAGAGAATCTGTGGATTTCCCATCCCTGGAAGTGTTCCAGGCCATGTTGGACAGGGCTTGGAGCAGCCTGGGACAGTGGAAGGTGTCCCTACCCATGGCAGGGTGTGGAACTGGGTGATCTTTAATGTCCCTTCCATGATTCCATTATTTGGGTGCTGCAGAGCCATTGTGCCTGCTGGGAAAGAGAAAACAGTGAGTTTATTTTGGGTCCAAAACATTGAGTGACATCTCCACTACCCCTTAAGGCAACACAAAGTTGTGAACTCCATCCAAGTGCAAATTCCCCAAAAGATTTGGGCTTCTGAAGGCCTTAGGAAAGGTGTCAAGAGATGGGAGAGGGACTGAGTGTGAAACAAAGAGCAAACAACCAAAGGTCTGTGCTGGCTTATGTAACCCAGTGCCTCTGGCAGTGAGCTGGGAGAAGGGCAGGGTGTGAGTTAAATGAGGTTGATCAGGATGAGTTAACTCTGGAGGGACCTGACCCAGCTTGTGAGGCAGGCTGGAATTGGGTGCTGGCAGATGCCAGGGAACACACGATGCCCCAGATTACCTGAACTGTCCCACTGGTGATTTCAGGTGCAGGATCAGACCTGAGCATCCCCTGAGGGCTTCCCATGGCCTGCTGAGAGATGTGCACATTGTGTGGCTCTGGGAGACCGTGGGAGGTGCAAGCACTTTGTCATTTCTCTCAGCTCCTGATGAACTTTCCATTTTCTCTCCAGTGCCTTTGTCTGAGCTGGTGCCAGCACTGGTTTAAAGCTGACAAGGTCTCATTTCTGAGAAATTCATGTTGCTTTTTTGCTTCTTTGCCTGGGTGGCCAGTCCCTGTACACTTGGGAACATTTCTCCTGGCTGAGCTCCATGAGATAAAGGATTTTTTGAGCTGGTTTCCCAGGCTGTGATGGGCTCCTTGGTCCCAGCCTGACCCCTCTAATGAGGGGACATCCAAGTGGCCCCTGTACTTCCCTGCTCTCCTTCCTTGGCCACTGGGATTTTTCCTGCAGTGCTGGATCTGAGTTAAGTTGCTGGGAGTTAGGGCTGGTGCTCACTTTCACCACAGGATCCCTCATAGCCACATTTGCTTACCTAGCCACTTTTCCTTTCATTTACAAAGAAACATCATCCTGGAGTGAGAAAAACTCATGCACAGGAGAAATTGGGTCAAAGAAACATTACTCAGACATTCCCCTGTTTGGCAGCTTCAGGGATCCATGACATATCCCAAAAATAAGGAGTTGGAAGATGGTGCCCCATCAGCCTGGAGTTTGGTCTGCAGACAAAATAAGCAGAGCGGGGATGTTGTGCTCCCACTGATTTGTTGTTTTCTTCAGGGAATGCCAATCCAATACCTGGTCTTGGAAGACACTGATGAAGTTATAACCCTGGTGGAAGATAAGAACAAGGTCAAACAAATCCAGGAGGATGAGCAGGAGGAGGAGGAGGAAGATGAAGATGAGAAAGAGAATAACAATCAAGGTGTGCAATTAATCAAGAGCTGATTGTCATCAGACAGAAGGTGCAATCAGCATCAGGCATAGCAAAGCATTAGTGAACACTTGCAAACCATCACAGTCACTTCATGGTGGCCACAAAGTGGCTCTTTCATTCTCTGAGGTCACTGGAATATGACAGACAGGTCTGATGTTTAGTGGAAACACCAGAGAGAAAAATCAGAGCTGTTGGGGAACAGTTGCTGTGTGAGGGACAGGAATGTGCTTGGGTGCTCCAAAGGCATGGGGGGGTTAAAGTGCTCCCAGCACTGTGTCCTCTACAAGCATCTGAAAATCATCCATCCCCTTGGAAGGGTTTGAGACACGTTTTTTTTAAGAGCAGATCCAGACTTGCTTCCTCCAGGGAGAAAACTCTGGTTCCTGCAATGCAGAATTGAAAATGCATTTGTTCTCTGTGCAAAACTGGGGGTGTTTTCTTAATAAAAAGGGGGCAGGATCCTAGAGGAGCTTAGAGTATTGTTCCAGTCAAGGACAGAGCTGGTGTGAGGTGGGATTGGGGCATTTTGAGGGGTTTGTCTGTGTGGCTGTACCTCCTCTCCCCATACAAGATTTCACTCACCCCACGTCTCTGCTGAGGGGTTCTGCATTACAAAATCATGCACTGGGGTGGCCCAGGGAGCTGCAGTTCCCCCTGGCCTGGACACACCTGTGGCTCCTTTGCAGATATTCAGGATGACCAGGTGGTGGAAGCAGTTACCAGGGACAAGAAGAGAGAGCTGCCCCTGGAGCAGATCCTTGTCCTGACAGAGGAGAACTTCCACTCTTCCCTCTCAGAGGCTGCTCGTACAGTGGTGCTGTTTTATGCCAGCTGTGAGTATGAAATGTGGCCTGGCTGTCCCTTCTTTGGGACACTTTGGGATGTTCTCTGTGCTTTCCATGATCCTGGAGAGATCCTGGAGACAAGTTTTGACCATTAATCTGTGCCACCTTCTGTCCCATGGGCACTAATAACAATCAGATTAAATCAGTTCTCATTGGCTGATAATAGCAGATATTAATCTGATATTAAGAGATTTTAAACCTACATTTGATAGGAAAAAACGTGGGACAAGAGGGGAAATTAATGTAGCGTGGACTCATGGGCTGGCCTAGACATAGGCAGAGACGTGCAGCATAAAGTCAAATTTTCCTTATTTATTTCAAATCCTCCAGAGCTCGAAGCACCTCAGGATGCAGAGATTCATAATGTGACACTGTCAGGGAGCAAGGTGGGGCTGGCTGTCCCCTGGCTGTCCCTCAGGGCTGTGTTTCCTCTCTCCTGTGTTTCAGGGGAAGCTGTGTCCCTGGCAGTGCTGCGCTCTTACTCCGAGGTGGCCGCTCACCTGAAGGGTAAGGAACCCCAGGGCTCAGGGTTTCACCTGCTCCTCTTGGCAGGAGGAACCAAGACATGGATGGTACCTCATTCCCTCACCTGGAGCACGCTCATTTTTCCTCCTCAGACCTCTAAGGAAAGTCATATCCACACCAGGTTGTTCAGGAACATTCCTTTGTGTCTGATTTAGGGATCTTTGCAGAATCTCTGTTCCCAGGGAGAAAAACACAGGATAGGAGGAAATAGCCTCAAGTCGTACCAGGAGAGTTTAGGCTGGATATTAGGGAAAATTTCTTTATGGAAAGGGTTGTCCAGCCCTGGTACAACTGCCCGAGGCAGTGGTGGAGTCCTCATCCCTGGAGGGATTTAAAAGCAATGTGGATGTGGCACAGAGGAGGGAAGCAGAACCATTTTTCATCACAATATATTGCTCTTCTTAGATTTCCTCTGATTTCCTCTCTTTGCAAAAAAGGCCAATAACCCACCCAGGAAATGCTCAACACTATCTCACCTTCACATCCTCTGCTCTTAGCCCTGCTGCCTCCAAAAATTCCCTTCTTGCAAAAGCAAACCAGAGGTGCAGCAGTGAGCCCCAGTGGGACTGGAAACTTCTTGCTCCAAGGGTAGAAAATGTGCTCAGTTCACCAAGGCAGAGATGCTCCTCTTTGTCTCCTGCTAAACTGGATCTCTCAACAAATGGAAAACACTTGAGGGCTGGAAACTTCACTTGGTGAGGATCTGCTGAGCATCTGGGATGGGATGACTCACAAGGTCATTGCAGTCTCCAGCCTCCTCCATTCCCGTGTGTTTGATCACACGTGGCCTGTTCTCAGTGCCATTCTGCACAAAGAATTGGCATGGGGAGCAGGACCTGGTTCTGCAATTCAAAATGTGCCTCCAGCATGGGTGATTCACTCCTCAGACAGCTGCTTGTGGATTCCCAGCCCTTGGGAAGGAAGCTCCACCCTGGAGCAGGCAGTGTTTCTGGGGAGCTGAGAGTGCCCCAAGCCATACCACATGTTCTATTCTCAGTCCTGCACAGCTTGAGGTCTTCTTCCTAGTCCAGCCATCACTGAGAGCCCAGGGAACAGCATCCTCTGAGGTTTTCCAGCTCCTCTGGTAGCTGGATCTCCCAGTTCCCTGAAGCTCCTCCAGCAGCAGGGAAAAAGGATCAATCTGCAGCTCCACCAATGCAGCTGTTCTGTGTCTGCTTGGAGCTAATGGCAGGGAAACCAGACTGGAGTCATTCCATCTGGCCTGGAGGGTCTTTGGAGAGACCTGAGTGATCACAGGAAAGGCCCTGACCCGAGGCAGTTCATGATCTCTGCTGAGAATCTGTCTGCGGCTGCTTCCCTGCCCTGAGATTGTTATCAAGTGATTCAGAACACACATGGCCCTGCAGAACCCACCAAGGGCTGGGAAAAGGCTGGGTTTTACCCACAGATTCTCCTGTGTTGCTCCTTTGGCTGATCTGGCTGCGGGGGAAGTCCAAAAGAAACCCCAAACCACCACCAACCCCACAACAACCACCTCTCCTGTCCCTTCCTGTTTATTCCTGGGATTTCAGTCCAGATCAAAGCTGCTGGTGACTTTCCCTTCATGCAGACCATGAATGCAGAGCTGCTTTCCTCCAGCCCTCAGCACTGCCTGCGGCATTCCCAGGACAGCTTCTTGTAAGCAAATCCCACTGCAGCTGCTTCCTAGAAAACTGTGGGGCCCTCTGCACACTCCATTTATGTCCCCACTGCTGAATCCTGCAGGACACGGTGCCCAGTCCCAGGGGGCTGCCAGCACCAGGAAAAATGAGCCCTGATGGAGAAAAAAGCCAGGAGAAGGCACCAGCCACCTCCAGAGGTGCTGGAATAGCTCTTGCCCAGATCCATGTGACTTCCCCACTGTGCCACAGTGGGATGAAGCCACCTCAGTGTCCCCTGCAGCCAAGAGGAGAAAAGAGGTCTTTTTGACCAGGGACTTACAAAGACAGGGAGTGAAATTGCAGCTTAAAGGCAGGAAAATCAGTTGCATGATTTAGCAATTTATATCCATGGAGCCTAATGCTGGAGTGAGGGTTTCAGTGTTCATTGTGTGATGTTTTCCAGGTAGATGTTCCCATTCTGTATTAGATTGTTCCTTTGAAAGTGCAGCACTTTGTACATAACTTCTCTTTCATGCTGAGGTCTTTGGACCAGCTCTTCAAGTGAGCTGTTTTTTTAATAAAATCATGGAATTGTTTAGATTGGAAAAGCCTTCCAAGATCATTGAGTCCAACCATTCCCCCTGGCACTGCTAAGGCCACCATTGTCCTATGTCCCCAAGGGCCACATCCACCCAGCTTTTAAATCCCTCCAGGGATGGAGACTCCACCCCTGTCCTGGGCAGCTGTGCCAGGGCTGGACAACCTTTTCCATGGAGAAATTGTCCCTAATATCCAGCCTAAACCTCCCCTGGCCCAGCTTGAGGCTGTTCTCTCTCCTCCTGTCCCTGTTCCCTGGAGCAGAGCCTGACCCCCCGGCTGTCCCCTCCTGGCAGGGGCTGTGCAGAGCCACAAGCCTCTCCTGGGGCTCCAGCCCTTCCCCAGCTCCATTCCTCTCCCTGAACATGCTCATGCACCATGATAGTCCTGCCTTCCAAATAATTATAAGTTCAAAGGATTCCTGATTGTTCTTGTTCTCTATGGCATTGATGGTTTGTCTTTTCCTGGTTTTCTAAGACATCTAGGACAGAGGTTCTTGCTGTTGCTGGGTTTACAGCACCTGAAACCACAGGGCAGGATTTTGTGTTCCTCTTTCACCTTTCTTCCCATTCAGCAGTGACCCCAAGGCTGGTCAGTCCTTTGCTGAGTTACTCAGTTCCTGGAAGTTCTGCTTGTTCAGTCATTAATGAAATGGTGCAGGTTGGGGTGGGAGAGGGACCATCCTGTACCAGGTGTTTTTCAGGCTAGATGGGGCTCCTTCAGAGCACATGGTAGATAATTCCCTGAGCTAATATCCAAATATTAAAATTAATCTTTGGAAGAGCTTCAAGCAGCCTCACAATTCGATTTTAACAGGATATCAAAGCCCCATTTCCATGGAATTATTTTCCAGAGTTGGGCAAGACACAAGATGATGTGGTAAGAGATGATGAGAACCAGCTATACTGGATCAGAGGTGTAAATCTGAGGTCAGGCTTTCAGTTGGAGATCTTCTTGCAGAGTCTGGGAATGACACAAACCATTTCTGCCCTCGTGGAGTGTTTTGACAATTGCTGCCTGCCTGAGTGGATTTGCAGGCCCTTCACTTGTGCTGCTTCCTGCTTTTTCTGCACACGAGTTTGACACAAGGCAGAACAGCAGCAAACTCCTCATGTGAACTACAGTGCAGAGCCTCAGATGAAGGTTGCAGAAAATGGTCCTGTGGGAGGCCAAGGATACAGGAATAAGGAGTAGGAACTCATGCTGAGGTCACCTCTGCCTTCACCCCCATCTACAAAATCCTCATGGAATCCCAGAAGGGTTTGAGTTGGGAGGGACCTTAAAGCTCCATCTCATTCCACCCCTCCATGGGCAAGGACACTTTCCACTATCCCAGGGTGATCCAGACCCTGTCCAACCTGGCCTGGAGTCCTCCCAGGGGTTAGGGGTTCCACAACTCCTCTGCACAACATTTGTGCAACACTCAGCTGTGCTCAGTTCTCAGGAACTTGTTTTAATATTTGGTCAGCCCTCCCCACCTTGGCATGGGCTGCTGCTTGACCCTGCCCAGTGATCTCACTGCCCCTCAGAGCACCCCTGATGTGTTGTTAGATTTTATTGTTTCTCTCTCACTGGCAATTTCCAGATAAAAGTTGGTTGGGTTTTTTCTCAGGAGGGAAATCTCCCAAACTGCTCCAGAATCTCATTTGTTTGAACCATTCCAAAAACGTGTTTCCCAGGCTGACTTGCTGGGCTCTGCAGAGGTTTCACCAGGACAGAATAAGAGAATTTTCTTCCCATGGACTGCAGATGCTGTTGAGTGTCCATCCCTTTCCTGCACCACTCGTAGAGAGCACTCAAGGAACCAACTTTTCATTTGTTTCACTTCTTACCAACCTGTTGAGTTTCTTGTGTTGGTGAGACCCATAAAAAGCCTTTTTGGGACATTTCCCAGGACCCACAGTTGGACTGACTGCTCTGTAATTCCCAAGTGCTCTTCCTTTCCCACTCCCTTATTTATGAGACTCCTTTCTCGAGGTCCTACAGGTGTCTGCTCATGGCTTGGGTGGGATCACAGAAAATACTGAGTTGGAAGGGATGCACAAGGATCATCAAGCCCAACTCCTGGCTCTCAGGATGGTCCTAAGAATCCCACCCTGTGCCTGAGGGCAGTGGATGGGAGCATCTCTCTTCCATCCCCTTTAGCTGATCCATGTGCATTTGGCTTCATGCTTGAGGTAGAAAAGAGATTTTTCAATATTGAACAGCTTAATAAATGTAAAAACCTTGGCTGCATACTCCTCCTCCATCATGCCAAGCTTTATCTTCCCTCTTTCCTGTAAGTGAGTGCCTGCATTATTTCTTCTTCTTGGCCTTATTCCCGAGGTATTTCCAACACCTTTCCCTACTGCCTTTTGAGCTCCTGGATGGATGTCTCAGGATTTTGTGGTGTTGCTTGGAGTTACCAGTCAGATGTGAATGTTTCTGGGAATGAGTGATTTCAAAGGGGAGATGGGCTGTATTCAAAGGGATTGTGTATTTGGGGCTGGATTTTGGTAGATTTCTGTCAGCATTAATACAAATATAGACAATCATATCCACTAAGCTAACAAAAAGCTCTCTTTTCCAACCAATTTATTGTTGTTTTTAGTTTTTCAGATAATTCATGATTATTTCTTTTCCACTCTAGGAGCCCCAGGGGTTTTGCTGTCCCGGGTGAACTGCTGGGACTGGCCTGGCCTTTGCTCCCAGGAGAATGTCACCCAGTTCCCCACCATCAGGATTTACAAGGAGGGACAGCAGTCAGTGACATATGGTGGCATGTGGGAAACCGAAGAGCTGAGCAGCTTCATCCTGCTGTGAGTGACAAATCCCCAGTGGGACATCTGCCACATCTTCTGACACCATCCCTGTCTTTTTGCTGGAATTCCTTCTCTGTTATTTTTAGTGGGGCTCCCAAGGCTCTCAGTTTGGCTCAGGCTGTTCTCTCGCAGCTCCAGCACCTCTCTGGTGATAATTATCACCTTCCCAGATGGTCATTTTTGTCTCTAATGAAGTGTCACACTTGTCCCATTGTGATGAGGCCTTGTTGGATTGAGGTTGCCCTGTTGTCTCTTCATCCCAAAAGCAGAAAAGACAACAGCCCAAGTTGTTTCTCTGCCTTTCCACAGGAGCCAGGTTTCCTGCCCACTGAAGCTGGCCACGATGGATGAAGCAGAAGGATATTTAAGAGGGGAGTTTCCATCTGAGCTCTCATCCCACCACCACACCTCACTCCTAGGAGTTTTCAGCTCAGCCACCAGTGAAGGTTTGTTGGGATTGGTGGGTTAAGCACTCTCCAGCTTCATTCCTGGTAGGACTGGGCTGCTTCCAGCTGTTGGAAGTTCACAACACAGCCTGTCTGGCTCTGCCTTTTCCAGTTGTACAGTGAGAGGGTAGCAGGTGGTTCCAGGTGTGGGATTTCAGACCCATACCCTGGCTCAGAGGACACTCAGCTGCCAAGTGGGTTTGTTACACCCACTGTGGGAGTAGAAACTTCCCAAGCCTGTTGTTCCTGTTGTACCCCTTGCCCTGAAGAGTTTGGCTCTGTCCTCTTTATGAATCCCTTCAAAGTAGTTGTAGGCTGGCATTAAATTCCCTTTAAGCCTCTGGTTTAGCCCACATCCATCAGCCTCTTCCTGGAGCCCATGTACAACATATCCCACAATCTTCTTCCTTAAAAAAGGAGGAGATCTACTCTTGGATCTTGCTGACTTCTCCTGAAGAAGCAGTAGCCCCAGTTTTTGTAACACACAATCCAAAACCTTTATTTTTTATTTTTAAACAGAACAGCAATAAGGTAAAACCGAAGTTTCCTGCATCAGGAGGAATGAATTGTGAACAACTCAATGAAATCCACTTGTGGATTTTGGAACAGATGGACACAGAAATGCAATGTATTACCAAGGGAGAGGGGATAAAGCCAGTCTGGAGAGAGAACTTCAGGCAAATCACAGAATCATGGAATGGTTTGGGTAGGAAGGGACCTTAAAGCCCATCCCATTCCACCCCTGCCATGGCAGGGACACCTTCCACTATCCCAGGTTGCTCCAAGCCCCATCCAACCTGGCCTTGGGCACTTCCAGGGATCCAGGGTGAGCCACAGCTTCTCTGGGCCCCCTGTGCCAGGGTCTCACAGTTGGGAGCTGAAATCTTCCAACCCCACAGGCTCTCAGTTGCCAGCTCCCCCTGGGAATTGCTGCCTTAAAAATAGGAGAACTTCCTGATCTTGCTTAAGATCAAGCTTTCAGACTATTTTTTTTTTTGTTTTAAAGCTCCCTTGTGCTCTAAACTTTGGTTTGATGCAAACCAAGCTACTGTCTCACTTGAGAGGGTCTAGAGAGAAGAGGTAAGAACAAGACAGGATGCCTGGAACCTACTAGAAAACACTTGGGTTGTGTTCCCTGAGCCAGCTGACAGCCAATTCTCTGCTTTCCTCTGGAAATCTAATCTGGTAAATACAGCAGGAAATCCTACTGATCCCAAAAAAACCTTTCATCTAGCCCAGAGAAGCTGTGGCTATCCCTGACAGCCTGGAAGTGTCCAGGGCCAGGCTGGATGGGGCTGGGATCACCCTGGGATGGTGGAAGGTGTCCCTGCCATGGCAGGGGTTTGGAACTGGATGGGCTTTGGGGGTCTCTTCCAGCCCAAACCATCCTGGGATTCTACAGAGTTGTTGTTCATTTCCTTCCATGCAGACAAGGGCCTTGGAGGCTTCCAGACAGCTTTTGTGGATCCTGTGGGGCTGTCTCTTCCCTCAGGGCACATTCCATCTGCAGTGCAGGGTGGCATCCTCAGCCTGAGGTAACTCAGCCACAGGGAGATGAAATTTGGGCTGTCTTCTCCACCCGCTTCCTGAGGGTGCTGGCACTGTGATGCAGAACAGCCTGAGGGAGCAGGAACCTGGAGCCAGCTGTTCTGGCATCAAGCCTTGCTGGAGTCAGGAGAACCACACTGTTCCTATTATCAACCTGCAGATTTATCTGGTATTCCTAATTATTTTCTCATGGCAGAATTCCTGCTCTAACCCCAAGCAGCAGGGAGTGGGGTCATTGTCATTTCCAGTGAACTGAAACAGAGCAATGAGATGTCCTGCTAAAAACATCCTGGATGTTTTCCAACCCTTACCATCAGGACTATGTTAACAAGCCCTTTGTGGGGTCTGAGCTAAAAGAGGCTTGGTGGAAAAATCCTAAATAAAATTTACTAGGAAGAAGTGAATGTGTTATGAGGGCAATGAACGAGGTTTTCCTGGAAACTCTGAGAAATCTTAGGACAGAAATTTGGTTTTGATGCAGAAACTGGAAACATCTTATGAAGTAAAACTGTCCTAAACCCAGAGGGATATTTGAAAATATTGAAATATTTGAACATATCCCTGAGCTCTGGTGCCTCACAGGGCTTGGCAGCATCAGTGGAAGCCAAATGAGGAAGGCAGGAGAGATCCTACAGGAGCTGCTGTGCTGGAGAGCATGATCAGAAGATGCCTCCTTCCAGAGGGACTCAGATCCTGCTTCCCAAAACTTTTCAGGGATTTTAGACCCTTCCTCATCTGGCAGTTTGAATCCTTGTTCCCAAAGCAGTGAAGTTGTGCTTGTGCAGTTCAGGGCAGCTGGGATTCCAGCTCAAGGATTGTGTTGCAAAGCATGGTCAGCCCTGTCAGGGAATTAAAATCCCCTCGGGGGGACTAATTTCCTAGGAAATATTTAAATAGATTTTTTGAAGTGCTTCCTGTCTGCAGCGGAGCTGTGTGAATTTGTTGGGGGGGGTGGGGGTTTGAGTACAAAGAACCTGGAGAAATATGGGCTGGTGTGTGGCTCTGGGTCTAGTACAGCCAGAAATAGGGAAATATTTTGAAGTGTGATTGGGAGGGAGGACAAAATCAGGTCGAAGAATAAGCCTGGCATTGCTGGAGGTTGTCCTGACTTAGGAGGGAATTTCTGCAGCCAGGGCTGACCCGGGGCAGCACTTCAAGACAAGCTCATATCTCAAGTGAGGATTTAAGGCTTGCTGGAGTAACTTGGGATGGGAACTTTTCTTTCAGCTGATAAAATCAAGTAACTAAACACCAGAAGAGCTGGAAAGGAACATCCAAGAATGGTTTCTTTGTAGCAGCTGGAAAGGGACTTTGGACAATGGTCAGGACACAGGGAATGGCTTCCCACTGACAAAGGGCAGGGATGGATGGGATATTGGGGAGGAGGTGAGGGTGTGAGGCCCTGGCACAGGGTGCCCAGAGAAGCTGTGGCTGCCCCTGGGTCCCTGGAAGTGTCCCAGACAAAGTTGGACAGACTTGGAGCAGCCTGGGACAGTGGAAGGTGTCCCTGCCCATGGCAGGGGTGGCACTGGATGTTCTTTAATGTCCCTTCCAACCCAGCCCATTCAGAGATTCTGTGATAATGACTGAGCCCTCAATGAACCACTCCTTAAGGAACTCCTTCCATTTAAAAAGGAAAACAGTTTAAATGAAAGTTTATGTGCCACGTGGGAAAGAGTGGAAAATACAGCTTTGAGTGTAGCTGCAAAACAGGAATCAAAGAACCAAAAAGGGACCAATTGTGAGGCAGCTCCATCTACTGAGCTCTGAGTCACTGCTCCCAGGAGCTTGGGCTGGCCAGCTGTGCTGTGACAGTGAACATCCTCAGCAACAGTCACTGGTGTGTGACAGCAATTTATGTCATGGCTGTATCTGAGATACCCCTTTAATCCTCAGGAAAAACCTGGCTTCTCCAAAGAGTGAGCTTTCTCCCTCTCCTTGGGTCAGCAGAGCTGGTTTTGTTGCTTTCAGTTGCTCAGTGCAGAGAAGGAGGGGGGTGATGGTGTTGAAATCCTCCCTGTTCTCACCCCACCTTTGGCAGCAGCTGTCTGGAGCTCTGATATCTGCATTTCTCATGCCTTGCATGTTCCCACAAAGCTTTGGCTTTCCATGGATCCACTGCCTGAAAGCACAGCCAGGCTGGACAAGGCTTGGAGCAACCTGGTCTGATGGAAGGTGGAATGAGATGAGCTTAAGGTCTTTTCCAACCTAAATCATTCTGGAATTCTGTGAAATTGGAGGCTTTTTATAAGGGAATAAAGCAGCTCTGCAGTCTGCTTTGTTTTGGAGCTGTGCTCTCAGTCTCAGCTGTGACCAAGAGAGCCCAGCCTGGTCTCTCCCTATCCTGCAACAGCCCCAGTCTGCTGGGAAGAGCTGGATAAACCAAGAGACACTTGAGGGAAAGGTTGGTTTATCTCCAGGCTCTTAGCCCTACTCCAGTAAAGCCATCATCCATCATTTCTCAAAGGTCAGTGGGATTTATAAGATTTCTGTTTAGACTTATAATTGGTCTCCTGTTTCCAAGAACGCTTAAGGACTGTAAGTCCTTAAAAACGTTTCATTTTCCAGCAGTGCCTCTGTCCTGCAGATCCTGGAGGCTCAGTGCTGGTGGCTGAAGAGCAAACACTGTTCTCATAATGGGAATTTTCCCTTAATCCTTGCTCTCTGCCAGCTTCTCCTCCCATGGCCTGCAGCCCTGAGCTGCACTAATTTCTTGGGAGCCTCTAATCCTGGTTTAGTTCCTGAAAGTCTGCTCTGGCAGGATGTTATGTGTGCAGACATCGATCAGGTTTCCAGGAAAAAACCTCAACACCTCTCTTTCTGTTGTTTATTCTTGTGTCTTGGTCTCTTTTCCAGCCAGGGAAGCTTTTGAAGAGGCAGGAAACATCCTAAGTGGCCACGTAAGGATGGGGATGTATTTTGAAGATGATGCCTTGTCTTTGTAAGTGGTTTCTCTTTTTTTTTGGGAAGAATTCAAGATGATCTGCACTTAGTGAAAGGCAGTGCCTGGAGCAAGTGTCAGTGTGCTGAGGGACAGCTACAAGTGATTTTTTCCTGCAGGGAGAGGGGTGAGGACTCATCCAAAGGGAATTGTCACCTTGGCTCTGCCCCTGGTTCTCAGCCTGTCCATGGTTCACCTTCCTGCTGTTCATATTCACTTTCATTTTCAGCCCTTCAGCCCCCATGGATGTGGTTGTGTTTCTCACACAAACAAGAGCAAACCTTTCTGAAAATTAAAAAAACAAACAAACAAACAAACAAAAAAAAACCAGCCTGGAAAAAAATATACCATCAGTGTGTGAGGGAGGAAAAGTCCTGCCTTTCTCTTTCCATGAGGAAAAAATGATGGATAGCCACTGCAGTGCCTTCCTTTGCTCTGGTGGTTGCCCCCAGTTGCCAAGAACGGCCAGAGAAGAAGCTGCTTGTGACTACTTGGGCTAGGAGTGGAGTGGACATTGAGTCTGGGTGCTGGAAAAGGCTTTGGAAGCTGGGAAATAAATCTTGTCTTGCCCTGGAGCTGCATTCCTGGTGGAATTGCATCCCTGACTTTAAGCCAAGTGGGAATTAATGGGATCTTACCTGTGTCATTAAGACTCCAGCAAGGGACAGAATCCTTTGGGTTGGAGTGAGAGAGGTCCTTCAGTGCCTAGAAATGCAGCTGGATCCAGGGGGAATCTCCAGCTTGCTCTGGCATCTCATTTCCATCAGGAATTAGCTATCAAGGCAGAGTTTAAAATCCCAGGAGGTCCTTGGCCTGTTTTCCAGGTGTGGGTTTAAGAGCCTACAGTGCAGCAGGGAATTCTTTTCATTAGTTCCTCAGAGGTGTGATGCATTCCTGATGAGACATTTCTGTGGTCAGCACAGAGAATAAGAATGTAAATACTTTGGGAATACATCTCTATTAACCAAACTGCTCCGGGCATCAGCTAAGACTTCTCTTCCCTGAGGATTTCAGCCCAGCTGAAATAGAAGAAAAAGAAAAAGAAAAAAAAAGAAAAAAAGCAGAGGACAGGGTGATCTCTCAAGGTACCAGCAGAAGAAGCCTTTGTTCTCTCAGAGCTGACACATGCAAGAATCCACCTCCCTGCTCCTAGAGTTTGCAGTCTGCTCCTGTTTAGCAGGAATATTTAGTGCAGTTTATATTGATAGTCCTTCTGCCAAATTTGGATTTTGGCTGTGATTTGTGGGTGAAGCTACTGTAGCTGATGGACTTCAACTGTAAGCAGAAAGTAAACACTTACAGGAATTCCTTATGCAAGAGCCAGGCACACTTCCCTTCTTCAGAAAATGAAAAGTCATTCTTGAGCTCAGTGCCCAAGGAGAAAATATTTATGGCTCCCAGGTCATGGAAAGCTGATTCCCCTTTTGTGCATCCTGTAGACCTTTTCCAGAGGGAAAAAAAAAAGGGCTACAGGATACACAAAGGCTGTTGTGAGCAAAGCTGTTTGCTCAGCAGGCACCTGCTGGGCTGGTCACTAATGAAGGGGAAAAAGGCATTGAAGAAGAAATGCTTTGCATGAGGTTGTTGCTTATTACCACATCGATGTCAGAGATTCCTGCCAAGTATTTGTTTGCAGATGCTTTTGATTGAAATGCAAGACTTGTGTTACCCACTGAATGGTCCTGCTGTATAAATAGAAAGCTGTGGTGAGCAACAGCACAAGCCCTCAGCACCAGGAAGAGGAGAAGGGAGCTCAGGATAGAGTGTAGCTGGGGAATTTAATGATTTTCTGACACCATATAGGGTATTTCCTTATAGAATCATAGAGTAGAACTCCAGAATGGTTTAGATTGGAAGAAATCTTAAAGCCCATCCAGTTCCACCCCCTGCCATGGGCAGGGACATCTTCCACTGTCCCAGGTTGCTCCAATCCCTGTCCAACTTTGGCTGGGACACCTCCAGGGATCCAGGGGCAGCTTCTCTGGAATCCTCTTCCAGTGCCTCACCCCCTCACAGATGCTTATCCAAGGCTGCTGAACAAGGTGATGCATTTTAGGTACAGGGAACAAGAGTCCTCACTCCTCTGAGCCATGACCAACCCAAAGAATCTCTTTAAAACCCACAGAAGTTTAATAAGTTCAAAATACCCAAGTTAAAATTTTTGGGGGTTTTGCCAGACTTAATCAACTGTAAATACATCAGCTCACAGTGAGGTTTGCAGTGGTTGTGTTAGTCCCAGACAGATAAATGCTGTGATGGAAGATGGGAAAGGCCTCCATGAGAGTTGGACACCGTGGAGATGAATTATCTGCGGTTCATCCACCCATTGTGTCATTGATGACCTAAAGAAATTCCTCCCTGGGAGGGTGGCAGGCCCTGCACAGGTGCCCAGAGAAGCTGTGGCTGTCCCTGGATCCCTGGAAGTGCCCAAGGTCAGGTTGGACAGGGCTTGGAGCAACCTGGGACAGTAAAAAGTGTCCCTGCCATGGCAGTGGAGTGGAACTGGCTGAGCTTTAAAGTCCCTTCCAACCCAACCCATTCTGGGATTCTTTGCCGTCACAGCCTTTGAAAAATTGCCAGGAGCCTTTGAAAAAAAACAAAACAACCAGACATGTCCCCAAAAATTGCAGAGGCAGCTGATTTCCCCTGTCACACCCTTCCTCTGGGCATTGCCATCTGGAGGCTCCAGGGCTGAAGTTCCTCTAAATTCCAAAATATTGCTGTCCTGGCTTGGTGTCCCCCCTGCCCTTTCTTTGCTCAGACTTCTCAGATTTTTGCTTTTCCCACTTTCTCAGCTTTTCTGTGAGTACCTGGAACCCTCTTGCCAGAAAGGCATTGTGGAACAAAGGATCATCTGACTACTCCACCAACAGTGGGTGGGTGCAGCCCGTGTGTGTTGCTCCAGTGTGGGGCTTGGACTTCATCAGCATTTTTGGGTTTCTTCACTAAAGATAAAAATTGGATTTCCTGGAGGTTGTTTTGTGTGGGTTGTGTCCCTTGGATGGAATCTGAGACCTCTGTTTGCCTTGGCTTGGGAGGCAGAGTGAAGCCCTGGGTGGGTTTTTCCATCACCCAACTGTCAGTGTGAAAATGAAGGGGAAGTAAGAATAAAATCCCAGAATCCCAGAATGGTTTGGGTTGGAAGGGACCTTAAAGCTCATTCCATTCCACCCCCTGCCATGGGCAGGGACACCTTCCACTATCCCAGGCTGCTCCAAGCCCTGTCCAACCTGGTCTTGGAGACTTCCAGGGATGGGACATGTCTCCAGGAGGATGCCAGCTCTGTGTGCAGGACATTTGGGATGTGTCCAAGCCCCCTGTGCCCATCCCTCTTTTTCAGATCCCGAAAATACTCCGTGTCCCCCCCTGCCCTCCTCCTGACCCGGAGCGGTGGCCGGAGCGTGGAAGGCATCGCTCTGTCCAAACACAGCGTGCAGGACATGGTGCAGATCATCAGATATGAACTGCTGGACATTTTTGTGAGTAAAAATAAAATCAAAATGTCCTTTTCCCATTGCAGTCATTTGCAGAGCCCTGATTATAGCGTGGAGTTCTGCGGAACGGCCGTGTCCGCTTGTTATTTTTATCGTGCCGAGTTTGTTTTGAAATTTTATGACTTGGAGCAGGGAGTCTGGACAAAAATCTACCCTTTGCTGTGTGATCTTGAAGCAGGAGACCCTGGAGTTGAGGGACTGGCCTCAGAGTCACTCACCTGCTAGTTGTCACAGTTATTATTGGGTCTATTCCCTATTCCCAGGGCTTTTTCCCTGTGCCTTTTGGAGCCTCTGACTGCTCTACTCACATCCCCATCTCCAAGCTCACAGCTGCTCCCACGGACTTGGTGCACTTGGGTTGGTCAAAGACATCTTCAAGTGCACCAAAATCCCAGTCCTCTTCCTGCTTCCCAATTCCACACAGACACTGCAGCCTTGCTTAGCCCCTACACCCCCATGTAAGAGCAGAAATTGGAATTTTCTCCTGTTTGCCCCTCCCCATAACCCCCAATTTCTTGTTTGTGACATCCTGCAGCCAGAAATCACCGTGCCAAATCTGCCCCAGTACTTGCAGCTCGGAAAGCCCTTCCTCATCCTGTTCCGTGCTGGTGACATCAGTCAGGTGGAAAGCAGGGAGATGCTGAAGCTGGCAAAAAGAAGACCCCAGCAGGCGTTTGTGGCTTGCTGGTTGAACCTGTGAGTGTTTGAAAATCTCTTCTTTCCATTAACTCGCTCTGAGCCTTGCAAAAAAAAAAAAAACCCTGAGGCTGCAATTACTGAGAACAGGAGCTGGTGATGTGAATGTTGGGTCTGAAGTCATCAGGAGCTGGGAGGTCAAACCATTGAGCAATGGTTCACTCAGCGTTCTGGGCAACTGCAAAAATGGCCTGACAAAGTAAAATTAGTAAATATTTAATTGATTGCAGAAATCGTTTTCAATAGAGGAAAATGTTCTCCAGTGCTTGTTGTAGCTTGACCCTGGGTCTGGTGTTATTTGCATTTTTATTGGGATGGAATGAAGTGCATATGGGAAGAAAAAAAAAAGGAAATTTGCCCTCCTGGAATGTCTTATGGTGATTTTCCACCAGCAATTAGAGGGAATGACTGGTCATTGACTGGGGAAAGAAAGTTTTCATAAGAAGGTTCAACCAGAAGCCCCATAAATTAAAAATATTCAAGCAACAAAATTAATTTAAGACCTAAAAAATAGACGATTGTAGGAATGGGGATCTTTTTTTTCATCCTCCTCTTCTTAGTTGCATTTTGAATTTTTGGCCTTTGTTTGTTTTGCCCAAGCCCAGAGAAACTTCGGTGGCTTAATCATAACGAGCTTTGAAGTCTGGGAAGCACCGTCCAGCGTGGGCTGGAGTTTAGCTGAGGGGGAAAGTGCACATGTGCTCAGAGAGAAGGGGACTGGGCTGCCAGTAATGCACCAGAAACAAGAGCCCTGGAACTTCCCCACCTACACATCTGCCTTTGCTCTGCCTTCCTGAGACACAAAAAGCCTTCCTGTGCCAGAGCAAAATGGCACTGCCACAAAACAGAAGGGTTTGGGTGGGAGGGACCTTAAAGGTCATTTCATTCCAACCCCTGACATGCCCAGGGACACCTTCCACTCTCCAAGAGATCCTGTCTAAGCTGGCCTTGGACACATCCAGGCATCCAGGGGCAGCCACAGCTGCTCTGGGCACCCTGTGCCAGGGCCTCCCCACCCTCAGAGCCAGGAATTCCTTCCCAATATCCCATCCATCCCTGCCCTCTGGCAGTGGGAAGGCACTCCCTGTGTCCTGTCACTTCATGTCCTTGTCAAAAGTGCCTCATCCTAGAAAGAAGCCCTTATTCCCAGGGCAAGAGCCAGCTCAGACCTGAAGCCTTACAATAGTGCTGGAGTGTCTCAGCACCTCTGGGACTCCCTGTCCCTCCGTCTCAGTGTCCTGTTTCCACTCCTCTGTGTCACCTGAGGAATTTGCCTTTCCATCCCTCTGGAACTGCAGTGGAAGGAGCTGGCAGCTGTCCCTGCAGACAGGGTCTGACCCTGGGGGCTGCAGGACCTGTCCCGCTCTTCTCCCACCTTTTCTTAGAATCTTAAGGTGGAAAACATCTCCCACCTTCCTACAGACTTTGTTCTGCTCAAGGATTTCTTCACACGTGTTGTCTGCTCTCTCTCCATTGGATCCTAACAGGTTCCTTAAGCACCAGGCTCATTTACAGTGCTTAGAATCAGAGAATCTTGGAATGGTTTGAGTTGGAAGGGATCTGAAAGCCCATCCCTGGGCAGCGACACCTTCCACACTCCCAGGTTGCTCCAAGTGCAGTCCAACCTGGCTTTGAACACTTCCAGGGATGATGCTTCTGCAATCCCACCAAACTGTGCTTTGCTGGATGTGACCCAAGGGCTTTGGTGGTTTATTTTTTTGGCTCTCAGTCTGCTGTGCTGCCAAACCTGAATCTCCTCTTCCCAACAGGGAGAAGACTCCAGTGGGATATGGGATCCTGAGGACTTACTTTTCCACCACTCCTCCCTTGCCTGTTCTCCTCTGGGTGAACTTCCATGCTGGAGGTCAGGTGTTCAAGTTCCCCTCAGAGCAGTCCATCACTGAGATGAACATCTTGTCGTGGCTGGAGAAGCTCCAAGCAGGACTGGAGATTCCCAGCAGTAAGTGGGCACAGGTTTATAACATTCCCAAGCACACACTGTGAGCTCCAGTGTGTTTATGAGAAGATACTATGTACAATAAATTGTCTGCCCTGGAATTTAACGATGGAAAAACCAGCTCTGCTTGTTAGAGCTGCAGAAGTACAAATAGTCCAGCCAAGAGAGAATGCCCACACTCACAAGTTTGCTTTGGGACTGTTTAATGCTCAGAGCCAAACGGGGGTAGTTTGGAACCTTGGAATCTTTTCCCTGTGATAATCCCCAAATCTGGCTGTGTCTTCCCATTCCCAGCCACAGCTTGCTCATAAAAACCCTCCCAGCTCCCAGCTGACAGTGTAAGAAGTAGCTGCTCTTCGGGCACCTTCCTGCATTTCTTTTTGGATGGGGAAGGATGAGGAAGCTGCTGTTTAACTGGGGTCTTTAGGACATAAAGGGTTGGCTTGTGCTGTGAAGTTTTTCACTGCATCCCTCCTGTCTTGATCAGCCTGGTGAGGCTTAGGAGGAAGCCAGCGTGGGTCTGTCTTCCTCAAGAGCTAGAGAAGGACTTGGGACAAGAGCATGGAATGAAAGGATACAGGGAATGGCTTCCCACTGCCAGAGGGCAGGGATGGATGGGATATTGGGAAGGAATTCCTGGCTGGGAGGGTGGGGAGGCCCTGGCACAGGGTGCCCAGAGAAGCTGTGTCTGCCCCTGGATCCCTGGAAGTGTCCAAGGCCAGGCTGGATGGGGCTTGGAGCACCCTGGGATGGTGGAAGATGCCCCTGCCCATGGCAGGGGTTGGAATGGCATGATCTTTAAGGTCCCTTCCCACCCATATTGTTCTGTGGTTCTGTGATCTTTCAGAAAATATTTTTAATTTTGTATTCATTAGAATGGGAGGGAGAAAAAGCCATAATTCCTCAGAAAGGGAAATATCCATAGAGATGGGGCATAACTCTTCACCTGCTAACTGGGGCTGTATTTGCTGCTCAGGCACCTTGTCTGAAGAGGACTGGAAGCCACCACTCCCTGCTTATGACTTCCTCCAGATGATGGAGCCATCCGTGCCTGAGCTGTCCCCCCACCCTGGGGACACCCCAGCGCAGCACCCGCCCAAGAGCCCTGGAGGGGACCCTGCCCGAGGGGACCCTGCCAGCCGGGAGGAGCCATCCCAGCAGAGCGCGGCGGAGGAAGTCGGTTCCCCTGGGAGGGGCCTGCGGGGGACGGCCCCGAGGCTGGCAGCGAGGGACAAGCAGGGCAAGAGGCACGGCGAGCTCTGAGAGCTGGGCTGGGGAAAGGTGTGGGACTGCCCTGCAAAGCCTGGCACTTCCCCAGCCTGTTCTCCGAGGAGAGAAGAGGTTTCAGCTGTCAAGGAATGGTGAAAGGAAAGGCCACTCCCTGCTGCTGAGTGCTGGGGGCTTCTGATGCCAGGGACGTGTCTGTACATCCCATTTGTTGTTCCCTGGCTGCTGCTGGGAGCTCATCAAGCAACAAGTTACACTGGAAAAGACAATTCAGCCCTGCTCTGTAGATTCCCCAAATCTCAGAGTCACTTCAGTTGCCCCTGAGCAGGAAGGGGTGAGTGATTCCAAGATAAAAAGCCCATTTCTCTCCTCCCTGGTTGCAGGAGAAGCTCTACTGATGTGTGACAGAAAATCCTGCAATTCCATCTGCATTGGAACCGTGTGGAGCCAGCATCCCACCACTCCAGGGCTGCTCCAACCAACCCCCAGTTGTGTTTACACCTGACTTGTGACCCAAATTCGTGAGCGTGTTCATCCTCACAGCGGGAGAAGAGGAGGATCTGGTCAAAACAGATTTATTCCAGAGGCCAGAGCTCAGGTCACACAACAGTCCTGAATAGCTGGGACAAAACTCTGCCAGCAAATCCCAAGGGTGGGCAGGTTGGGAGATGGCTTTCCTCACTGCTGGCATTTTCTTGGTCACAAGCCCAGGGGGCTATTTGCAGCCTCAATTTGTCTTTGCTCTCAGTGACTGGAATGAGGCTGGTGCCTCCTGAGCTGGGAATGGTGCAGGGAGCAAGGTCTGGGGAAAGCTGAGTGCTGTGGAAGAGGGGAGGGTGATGAAGGGCAAGGCTGGACCCTTCCAAGGTGGGATGGAGCTGCTTCACATCCAAAACTTAAGTGGGGAGCTGCAAAAACTGGGGAAGTGGATTTCCAGCCTCTGCACATCTCCTGGGGACAAGAAATGGCAGCAGGTTGAAAGCAGATGGCCTTTGAAGTCCCTTCCAACCCAAACCATTCTAGGATTCCATGACCATCCCTTCAATGAAATTTCCCTTCCACAGCACTGCTGAGATGTGCTGGGAAACTCAGATCCTCTTCCAGTCCTTAGAGCTCTGAAATTACTGGGAAGATGAAAAAATCCTGGTAAGGGACTGCTGAGAGCATTGCAAACTCAGTATTTCTCAACCTGCAAGCAGCACACATGGCTGTGAGTCTTTTGAAATACCCAGAAATAGATTATTAGTCCTGAGCTGTCCTGGAAGCCCTTAATTGAGAGAGACCATTTTTGGACTGAGTGACAGGCTTTGAGCCAAAATGTATGTATTCAAAGGAATAAAGTGCAGCCTGCTGATCAAAGGCATTATTCCCAAGGGAAGGGTGTGAGCAGATCCTTCGTGTGTTCCCATCATTCCTCTGCTCCATAAGGTCCTTATGCTGCTGAATTCCATAAACTGAACATTGCTCATTTCCCATCCTGTCACTGGTCATCAGCATTGAATCCCAGAATGGGTTGGCTTGGAAGGGACCTCAAATCCCATCTCATCCCACCTCTGCCATGGGCAGGGACACCTTCCACTATCCCAGGCTGCCCCACATCCCATCCAGCCTGGCCTTGGACACTTCCAGGGATTCAAGGACAGCCACACTTTCTCTGGGCACCCTTTGCCAGGGCTTCCCCACCCTCCCAGCCAGGAATTTCTTCCGATTATCCCATCTCACCCTGCCCTCTGACAGTTTGAAATGCAATAATTGGGTTTTTCATTGCATCCTAAATAAACTCCATCTCCAGTAGGTTCCTCTGCATCTGTGTTGGGTGGTGGGAGCAGGGGGCCTGGGGCAGGTGCCCCTCAGCAGCAGGATCCTTTCCTTCCCCAGGGTTTTTGGGAGACCAGGAGCATTCCCAGGTCCCTGCTGTTATCCACGCGTCCCTTTCCAGGCACAGCCCTTCTCCGGTGCAGGGCTGGGGCAGGAGTTTGTCAGTAGGGGTCAGTGCCACATCTCTGTTGTGACTTTACAACTTGGGGACTCTTTGGGACTGTTTAATGCTCAGAGCCAAACGTGGATAGTTTGGAACCGACATCTTTTCCCTGTGATAATCCCCAAATCTGGCTGTGTTTTCCCATTCCCAACCACAGCTTGCTCATAGAAAACATCCCAGCAAATTCCTGCCTCTCCCAGTGCTGCTGGATTGGGGCTGGAAGCGTCACCACCTGGAGCAGCTTCCCAGTGGGGTCCTGTGGGGATGCTGCTGCATGAGGGGCCAAGCCTGGATAGTCCCAGCTCTGCTGCCTTCATCCCCAACATCACCAGTGGGATCCATCAGCTGCAGCCTCCCAGGCTGGGTTGGGATGCCCAAAACCCTGAGCTGAGTCCACCTTGCAGGTACCAGCACAGAGACTTGGGAAGGGATGTGCTTGTCCATGTCCCATCACTGCCAGAATCCAGCTGGACTGCTCTGGTTTTGCCAGCTCTGCATGCAGATCGTGGTCCTGGATCACATCAGGTGGCTTGGAGTTTATTTGGGGATTTATTTCTCAACACAAAATGTCTTTTTCACTGCGTAGCCCCAACAAGCACTCGGGGAAATCCATGGAGGCAGAAATGTGCCAGGTTATGTATGGACAGGGGGAAATTGTTAAGGATACTGAGGGCACTTTGATGAGGGTTTGCATCCCAAAATTTCCTCATCCACCAGAGCAAATGCTCCAGCACTTGGCTGTTTCCAACAACTCTGGCTCTGGGGACAAAGCAGGGCGGAAAGAAACACTCTGAGGGTGTTTATGGAATCAGAGCCACAGAGTGGTTTGGGCTGAAAGGGACCTTTAAAGGGCATCAGTCCAAGCCTGCCATGGGCAGGGACACCTTCCACTGGACAAGGCTGCTCTGATTCCCATCCAGCATGGCCTGGAATTCCAGCCTTGGGTGAGAAGTGAGGCAGAGGAGGCAGAGCTCGTGTTCTGGGGGGCAGCTGTGAGGGACAGTGATTCCCAGGAGGCTGGAGGAGAGGGATCTGTCCTGTCCCAGGAGGCTGGAGGAGCAGGATCTGTCTTTTCCCAGGAGGCTGGAGGAGCAGGATCTGTCCTTTCCCAGCAGGCTGGAGGAGCAGGATCTGTCCTGTCCCAGGAGGCTGGAGGAGCAGGATCTGTCCTTTCCCAGGAGGCTGGAGGAGCAGGATCTGTCCTCCACACAGAAGCCAGCAAGCTCTGCATGCTCATCAACCTCCCTGTGTCAATGCTGCTGCTCAAGTGAGGTGAGATCATCAGGGACACTGATGTTATCAGCTCCCTCTTCAGCCATTTAACAATAAAAGTCATGTTTGGATAAACCACAGCTCTGCCTCCCTCCGGGGTGCAGGCTCAGCTGAAGATTTCCTGGCTGATATGGATCAAGTGCAGCTCCAGACCACTCTGACTTCTGGTGGGACTTCATTTCAGCAGATATTTGGATGTGCTTCAGGAGCCTTTCAAGGGGTGTTTATCAGAAGATAAAACAAAAATGCACACATACACACCCAAAAAAGGATTATGTGCTTGTCCTGAAAGCAAAACAATTTATTCAAAACAACAGGAAATTCTCCGTGCACTCCTTGTTGGCCCCTTCCAACTCAGGATATTCTGTGATTCTGTGATTTGTCCCCATCCTTAAGGAATCCCACAAAGGCAGGCTGGCAGCAGTGCTCATTACAGGGCAGAGGGAATATTTAAAGTGTCTGTTGTATTTTCCATGTTTAAAAGCTTTAAGAGGGAGTGGTCTCAAACCCGTGGGACACTGGAAGCAGTCACAACACTCCTTCCAGGTTTTCCACCCTTTCAGCAGAACCAGGATGGTGAGAGACAAGCCCTTGGAATGTGGATTTTCCAAATTGGCTGAGAATTTCCAAATTCCCAGCTCATCCTGGACCACTGCTAGGCAACCACAGTCCCTCCTCATGAGGGGAGCCTCATTCCACGGCCAGGCTCTGGTCTGGGGTACAGCTGCAGGATGGCAGAAGAGGTGGCTGCAGCAGGGAGGAGGCAGGACAGGACCTGATCCCCAGGAGGGCGATGCTGCCAGGCAGGAGCAGGGCCACGGGAAGGACAGATCTGCCTGGACAGATTCCAGCAGGATGTGGAGCAGCACAAGACCTGGTGAGCTGGCTCATATCCCCTGAGGGGGGACAGGGAGGCTGGCAGGGGACAGTGAGAAGCAGTCCCTCCATCCCATCTGCAGAGCCCTGTGTCGGGAAATGTTTGTCTGCAGTTGCCAGGGGTGTCTGGAATAGCCTCCTCCAGACCTCAGCCCACCCCTGGGGACAGCCAGGCTGATGAGATCCATCCTGGTGGCCTGGATGCCTTCTCTGTGCCCTTGGCACAGCCTGAGGGGATGGAAAAGGATCCTGCACTGCCTGGTGTGTCCATCACTGGTGGTGTGTCACCTCCCAAAGCAGCTCCCCGAGCCCACACAACGCCCCTGCTGCCTGCCAGTGTGGGGAGGTGGTGGGGACCAAGCAGGGACAATCTGGGGACAGATGTTGATCCAGGGCTGGGATGGGAAGCAGTTGATGCCATAATGGCAGGGTTGGAGGTGTGTGAGGCGCTGAGCTGGGGAAGGGAGGGAGCAGGTGCAGAATGGAGCTGGGATGTGGGATAAGGGGTGCTGGCTGAGCACGATGGGGTTCCTCACAACGTAGGGTGGCTCTTCCACCTGGCACTTCCATTGCTAAAAATACAAATAGCCCAGGAAAATACCCCCAGCCCCCAACCTGTCACTTGCAGGGTGTCCATCTCTTCTGCCCCATGCCCAGTGTGGGCAGGAGTTGGGTCTCAAGGACACCACTGGTTCCATCCTCCTGGAAGAGCAATCCAAACCAGCTCCTCACAGAACACCTTCTGTCTGTATTTTCTCTTCCCACCTCCAGCCTGTCCTGGCACTGCACCCACAGCTCTGCTCTCCTGCTCCATTCCCAAACCAGGTCCATGCAGGGTTCTCACTGCTCGTGACTCATGGTTGAAGTCAAAGTCCATGCTGGAAGAGCAGCAACCATCCCATGGTAATCCCTTCCCAGTGCCTTTCCTGCTGTTCCCAAAAAGCAGGAGCCCCCAGGGTTCCGTGGGGCCGTGGAGGGAGCAGGAGTGGCACATCCCCTTTGGGACATTGTTGTTCTTTGTCCATTGTTCCCTTTTGGCTCCCGGAGCCGACGGGGAGCGATAAGTGGGGAGAGGGCAGCGCTCTGTTCCTGCTCCCCAACAGGTTATTTTCCGACCTCTCCTTAGGTAAACTCAGCCCTTCAGCTCCCTCAGAGTTTGCTTTGCTCTCCCTCACCCCTCCAGCACGGCGTGGGGCCCAGGAGAGCAGCCTGGCTCTATTAATAGCCCCTGGAATTGCCAAATCCCTCCTGTGTGTTGAAAGAGTGGCTGCAAGGCCATGATTCAGCTCCGTGGTAACGCACGGGACGGTTCCCCAGCATGGCTGTGGTGGGAAAGCTCCCAGCTCTGCTCCAGCCCTGGAGGGCAAGCTGGGCTCTCCAGTGGGGAGGAGAAATGGGCAAGAGTCCAGCAGCAGGGATTTCTTGGCTTGCTGGCAACACAGATGGTCCTGTTGCTAAACCTGGTGGTGTTTCTGCACTGGCCGCTGCCCCAGCTCGCTCTGTACAGGATCCACAAAGAGTAAAATCCAGGGGTCTCCGAGAGGGAAAAGCCAGGGAATCATGTGGACCAGTGAAGTTGGAAAAGACCTCCAAGGTCATTGAGTCCAACCATTCCCCCAGCACTGCAAATCCCACCTAATCATGTCCCCAAGTAAGTCCACACAGTTTTTAAATCCCTCCAGCTGCCATGGGCGGCTCATTACAGTGCTTGGCAACCCTTTCCATGAAGAAATTTTTCCTGATATCCAATCTAAACCTCTTCTGGAGCAACTTGAGGCTGTTTTTCTTTGTTCCCAGGGCTCCTGGGGTTGAAATCCATGGCTATCCCAGCCTTGCTGAGCAGTCCTGCCTGGAGGAGAGGGGAGAGCATCTCCTCAGGCTCCTGCTGAGTTTGAAGTCTTGGAGTCTCCTTAAGTTGGGCTTGTGAGTGACTCCTGCTGGGGAGTGGAGCTTTGCAGGGCTGAAGTGACTCTGTGGATCCTGGACCTGCTGTGGGGACATGGGTGGGAGAAGTGACCCATGGGGAGAGGTGGGATCCTGGATATGGAAATACAAGGGATGCTGCAGCTGGGGGAGTTCAGCTTAGCACAGCAGGGAGCAGGCAGGGAGCCCCAGCTGTGAGCAGGGCCAGGCACCAACAGCAAGGCAAATATTTAGAAAGGCATTTGCTGCCCAAAAATAGCTGGAAAAGCTTTCAGGAGCAAAGTTGGAACAGTGTCTGTGGGCAGCAGCCAGAATCCCCCAGCTCAGGGCAGCTCCCAGACACAGGGGACAGATGGGAATGACCAACATCTGTCCATGAATGGCAGTGAGGGGATCTGTGGGGCTTCTTTTGGAGACATCCCATCCCATGGACCTGGAAGCTGAATAGGGGAAAAGTAGCATTATCCTCCTTGTCAATCCAGGGATGCTGAAATGTGGGTACCAGCATCCAGATAAGCTCATTTGCTCCCAGGAATTAGCACCTTTGGATTCACACAGGGTGGGTGCCAACACCCATCTCCAGGTGTTGGCAATGAGCTAAGAGGAGAACCAGGGTGGGAATGACTGCTTTGAGTCGCTTGTCCCCTCCTGGGTCCCCACCCTGGTGACACTCATCCTTCCTCCTCCTTTCAAGAGGAGCATGAAAACGATGAGCTGGCAACTCTGCCACACCATCCTCAGG